CTCACCATAGCACATACCCTCCCTAATGTCTATCACCCAGCCACCCCATCCCTCCCACCCCCCACCACTCCAGCAACCCTCAGTCTGTTTCCTGAAATTAAGAATTCCTCATATCAGTGAAATCATATGATACTTGTCTTTCTCTGACTGACTTATTTTGCTCAGCATAATACCCTCCAGTTCCATCCACATTGTTGCAAATGGTGCGATGGATGTTTTGATCTTATTTCTCAAACTAGTTTTTAGTGTGCCAGTTTTAATAGTTTTGTATTTAGAGGTAATAAGGAACTTAAATAGATAGTTGCAAATAAATCTCGTGGAATTTACTCCACCCTCTTCTACCACAGGGCAGGCCCCCTAAAACGCTTTCTTTCTTTCTTTTTTTAATGCTTTCTCTTTCAGCATGCCAGTGCAATGGCCACAGCAAGTGCATTAATCAGAGTATCTGTGAGAAGTGTGAGAACCTGACCACAGGCAAGCACTGCGAGACCTGCATATCTGGCTTCTATGGTGATCCCACCAACGGGGGGAGATGTCAGCGTAAGTCAAATCCCTCAGGGTTTGATTGCAAACCAGCTGGAACACTGTGCCTCAATTTGACTTGAGTATCTAGGAGGACAGAAGCCACTTGGTTTTGGATACTGCCTTTCTTGTCATACTTTTCAGGAGCTCAGCTAAGCCTGGGAGACAGTGAGCAGAGCTGCCAAGAATCAGAGTAGCCAGTTAACGCCAACAAGCCAAAAATGGAAGAGTTAGGCCTTTAATCAGTTACTGTGGTGGTAAAGCAAGAGCCTTAAACCTAAACGCGAGAAAGCTCTGAGTCCCTCCTGGACTGGATGCTGGTTGAGGGTCAGGTGGATCAGCACAGAGGTGGGGAGAGCCCTGAGCAGAAGGCTCCAGCAAAAGCCTGTCATGGACTCTGGAGAGGGGAGGGGAGGGGGGTTAAGTGCTGGGGACTGAGAGTGGGGACCGCATCTTCAGGGCTTCCCCCCCTTTCTCCTGAGGAGGCTCAACAAGGCTCCCGAAGAAGGTCTGCCCAAGGCCCAGATAAAGAGACTCAGGAACGAAGGCGCCTGCACCGGGAATGCAAGCATGTGACTGAACACGGCTGACTTGGGGGGTGGGGGTGCCTGAGACCCTGACTGCAGCTCCCCTCAGAGATGGCCCCCGGGCGCAGGAGACCTGCTGGCTAAGCCTGGGATTTGGCTTGTGGTCGAGTCCAAAAAGTCACACATGGGGTTTTAACCAGGAGCCGGATTCCTCAGTACTTCTAGTATATTTTATTTTATTTTATTTTTTTAATTTAATAGAGCACACAAGCAAGGGGGAGAGGCAGAGGGAGAGGGAGAAGCAGGCTCCCCACTGAGCAAGGAGCCTGATGCAGGACTGGATCTCAGGACCCTGGGATCATGACCTGAGCCAAAGGCAGACGCTTAACCGACTGAGCCACCCAGGCGCCCCACTTCTATTATATTTTAAAGGTTTTCCCATGCATGTCAAATAGATTCCTGTAAGCAAGGACTTTTTAGTGTTAGAACATAAATTAATACATTTTTTAAATGACCAGTGAGGCTGGCAAACTGCTTTTTGGCTTGTTCTTATTTCCAATGGGAAGACCCTTCGGGTTCTGAGCAGGAAAATAAATAAGAAAGGAAAATCTCTACCTCCTCCCGAAATCCCACCTCCAAACTCCTTAGCCTGGCCCTTGAGAATCTGATCCCAGAGCAACCAGGAGAGAGCTGGCATTTTATCAATATGTCCCTTAACCTCTCTCTGGGGTTCAGTTTCCTCATCCATAAAACGGGGATAAAAGGGTTGCGGTTGAGACGGAAGTGGTCAGAGCAGTGCGTGACACATAGTAAGCGCTCAGGAAATGTGGGCAATTATTAGTAATCTTCTATGGCCATTGCCTGCCACTCTTAGAAGAACATTTCCTGCTCAGATTAAAAGGTCTTTAGTAAAAATATTTTTCCCATTCCTTGTGACTGGACTTCATCCGTTTGACAGTAATCACAGTACATGGCATTACTGGGTGGGGACTATGCACAGGACCCCATGCCCGAGGCCCCCAAGACATGGGTGCCCATTTCTGCGAGTCCTGTGGGGCCTCGGAAACACTGACCAGCCACTGTGATTTCACCTCACTTCTGAGCCCTGCTAGGATTTGAGACATGGTCTTTGTGGGGCAGGCACCTCATCTGAGGCTGAGTGCAGCCAGACCAAGCCTCCCCCTCAGGAGTGGTTATTGCTCAGAGCATCTCCTTGGGGGCAGGGACTGTGTCTGTGCCCCCATACCCAGCACCTGGCACACTAGAGATGCTTCATAAATATTTACTGAATGAATGAAAGAGTCATAATAGTGAAAAACAGCCTATTGAGAAGATCAAAATAGATCAAAATGGTTGCTTCAGATAGCAGTAGAAGCCAGCCTTCTCTTTCCTCCCGTCCTTGGACTTTGGTTCTTTTAACGTTGCCTTTACATTATTTGAGATAAATCTTAGCTGGAAAACTTGCATCTTACCCATTAAATGCTTTGATTCTAATCTTTCCTATTGAATCCGATTCAGATAAAATTATGTGTTTTAGGAAACGTCTGTGATAGTGGCAATCTTTTAAGCCAGTCGTGACTTCATTCCTTTTCCTTCTCCCCAGCATGCAAGTGCAATGGGCACGCATCGCTCTGTAACACCAACACGGGCAAGTGCTTCTGCACCACCAAGGGCGTCAAGGGAGATGAGTGCCAGCTGTGAGTACCACACTCCTGGGACCCCTGCCACAGGCCACACCTGGATTTAGTGACTGGCAGCCAGGCCAGCCGGGTCTGTACCACCAGGGAGGCCAAGGGACTGTGAAGCTGCTGGACCACAAGAGCCACCCCTTCCCTGTGCCTTTTTGTCATGGGCGCTGGGGGGATCCCCGGGTTGATGAGTTTGGAATTCTGCCTTCTCTATTTCAGACAGGTCTAATTCGGTCAGCCTCCATACTGAGGAGGTTCAGCAGCAATTACTTGATGGCTCTTTAGGTCACGTTTTTATGTTTGAGTGACACTGACATTTCCTGCATTGCTGACTTGGATCAGTCTTTTAACTTCAATCACTGTTCGATTTTTGTCACATCAGGAGATTGTACCGTTTCCCGAGAAAGAGCTGGAAGAGTTGGTATTCCAGGAGAGCGTTTTATTTTAGCATTTTGGTTGTCTGATAGTGGAAGTGATCCCCTGGCCTTTAACACATCCCTCCTGTTCTAGCATTTTTCTTGGTGAAGTGTGTTCGACATCTTCCAGGGAAGAGTTTGAGGTTCCCATTCATGAGGATGCCAACAGAGTCAGACAGACATGGAGTTTTAGCCCTGGCTTTGCCTCCGTGAAGCAGGGCACTCTTGAGACAAATCACTTTACTGAACTGAGCCTCAGTTTCCCTATTCATCAATAGCAGGACTAGCAATAATTGTTTTTAGTGACCTGATGAGTTGAAACGAGATTGTTTCCTGACGAATATATACTTGTCTGCCTCACTAGGAAACCTCATAAAACACATGCTCCGGGTTTACTCATTCTCTCAAGAAGAGACTTAAGAGAGAGAGATGTTTAGTAGTATCACAACATTGAGCTGAGACAAGCAGATACTTCATTGGTAAACTTTGTTGTTCTCAGCACTCGTAGTAACGTGATGTTCAAGGAGGGAATTGCTCTGTCTGCATTTTACAGTTTACAACACTGGGCATGTTTACTGGTTTCATGGTGCCTTGAAGAAATGTCTAATCAAAAATTAAGTTTAGCTTTTGGGCCTAGGTTCCTTTCAACAGAACAATATAATAGAGCAAAATTAATCACTGCTGCCCTCAGTTAGGCATGCAATAACGAAACGAGGCGTAGGTCCAGTGAAAGACTTTTCCTTCAAGAGATTTAGATACAAGCAAGCACTAAGAATCACCCTGGATCCAAGGACACGATATCTTGTATTATTTCTCTGGGAAAAGTGCTTGACCCAAGCTTTCCCCACTTTCTTAATAGCTCTTAGCTGCTGGCTCTGCCAGTATAAATGGCCTTGTGAAGTGGGAGACTGGGTTTTGCTGATGTTCACAGATGATATTTGTGGGGGAAAGTAATGATTCTTTTTTACTAGAACTTATTTTTTCCTTCAGACTGGTGAACCACGTTCAAGGACTTAAAAAAAAAAAAAAAATGAAAGTGATTCTCAGTGTTTAGCCTTTTCTTATTTTTAAAGAGCAGGATCAGTTTTATCCAGGGAGAATAGGAAGGAAGTGAGAAATGAATATTTGAAAAATGTTTTAACTTCACTTTTAGAGGAATATTTAGTCCACACAAAAGTGGAAATGTGTTTTTCATGATAATGGGTAGGATCTAGATTTATTACATTTGGATTTGTCTCCTGCGCTTTGGCAAATGTTTATCAGTTGGCAGGTGGTGTGAGCTGCTGGGTAGGCAGTACTCAACATGAACGCAGACTCTCCTCAGCCTACCTGATCTGAGTGACAGTGAAGAATGTGATTACGCTGACTCACACTTGTTTGTAGTGTAGTTTTATATAGAAGGATCTGCTTGGTTTTAAGATGAATGTGGATTTTGTTTTAACTAGCAATAGAAAATAATCTTCAATTTTATCCCCCTAGATGCGAGGTAGAAAATCGATACCAGGGAAACCCTCTCAAAGGAACATGTTATTGTAAGTGTTTTCGCAATTCATATTTGTCTAGAAGCAAAGTAGTTCAATAAAACTTTGTTATTTGCTTTAATATGGTTTGAGAATGGTAAGTGCTATAAGAATATAGCAACCATTCATGGAAGTGTTTCCATTCTATTACACTTAATACATATAGGAACACCATTTTAAGCTGTGTTAATTATGGTTGTGGTTTATGTTACTATATCCAAAGCAGATATCAGGGGAGAATACAGAGATACACACCTCTAGCTTTCCTCATTTATGTTCTCTTGAAACTTAATTTCATTTGCCATTACCTGGTTGGGGTCAACATATTTCACATTTAGGATATAGGTCAGAAACAATTTTTTTTTAAGATTTTATTTATTTAGAGAGAGAGCATAAGCAGGGGGAGGGGCAGAGGGAGAGAAAGAATCTCCCACAGACTCCATGCTGAGTGTGGAGCCAGATGTGGGACTCAATCCCACCACCCTGAGATTACAACCTGAGCTGAAATCAAGAGTTGGTCGCTCAACCGACTGAGCCACTGGGTGCCCCCAGAAACAATTCTTTTTTTTTTTTTTTAAGATTTATTTATTTATTTTAGAAAGAGAAAGAGAGATAGCCAGGGGGAGCAGAAGGAGAAGGAAAGAATCTCAAGCAGACTCCCCACTGACTGCTGAGCCCGAGGGAGGATTCAGTCTCATGACGCTGAGATGAGTCAAAACGAATGTCGGACTCAGGTTTTGAGTCTGACTTAACCAACTGAGCCACCCAGGCACCAGAGGCCCCACCGTATCAGTGAACTTTTTGTAATCTGGTACACTGTAACCTATCTATTTTGAAAAAATAAAACCAATATCAAATACCAGGTTTTAGCAATGATACGGGAAACTAGAACCTTTATGCACAACCTTCATCCGTCTTTGTGGGAATATAAAATGGTATAGGCATTTTGGCAAACCATTTGGCAGTTTCTTAAACAGTTGAAAATAAACTTGTCAACAACTCTCCATTTCCCTCTTCCCCTAGCCCCTGGCAGTCACCATTCTGTTTTCTGTTTCTATAATGTTGACTACTCTAGGCACCTCATATAAGTACAATCATATAGTACTGGTCTTTTGTGACTGGCTTATTTCATTTGGCATAGTATCTTCAAGGTTGTTCCAGGTTGTAGTGTATGTCAGAATTTCTTTCCTTTTTAATATTCCACTTTATGTATACTCTTGATGGACCTTTGGGTTGCTTCCATCTTTTGGCTATTGTGAATAATCACTATGATGTTTAGCTGCTATGAACATGGTGAACAAATATCTCTTCAAGATCCTGCCTTCAGTTCTTTGGGTATATACTCCAAAGTAGAATTGCTAGATCATTTGGTAATTCTATTTTTAATTTTTTGAGAAACTACCATACTGTTTTCCACATTAGCTGCACCATTTCACATTCCTACTAGCAGTGCACAGGTTTCTAGTTTCTCCACATCGCCACCAACACTTACCTTCTGTTTTTTTGATAGTAGCCATCCTACTGTGCATGAGGTGGTATCTCATTGTGGTTTAACTGATTTGTATTTTCCTAATGACTAATGATGTTGAGCATCTTTTCGTGTGCTTACTGGCCATTTGTATATCTTCTTGGGGGAAATACCTATTCAATTCCTCTGTCCCATTTTTAAATCAGGTTGTTGAGTTGTACAATAGACTTTTTAGAATTAAATTATACCATATTTGGGCAGCTCTTTCTGCCCATGGGTCCTGTCCCTGTTCTTGAATAAAATCACCTTTTTTGTACCAAAAACAAAAAACAACAACAACAAAAAAACTATACCATCTTTGTCCAGTAGGCTCTCTTTAAAGCTATTTTCTTTTGCTACAACACCTTAGTCTTTGAATGCTTTCTTGCTTTCGAGAATAAGATAATCAAGGCACACATTCCTTGCTCCAGACCTGGAATCAACCATTTTTCCATAGAGTCTTGGTTCCTTTTATATCCTTAATTTATAGCTTTGTATCCTTAAGCAAAACCTAGCGTGTAATAGAGGTACAATTAATATTTGTAGGTGATTTAGGTTGGAACCTAAAATCTCAACCAGGGTCATGATATAAGGAGAGTTTGATAGGTTATTCCAAGTAAAATGATACTATCCACAGACTTGACTTCCTTTGAAAAGCCTCCCAGTCCCCAGGTAAAAGTGAGCTAAAAGTGTTTCCCGGCTATTGAGTATTTATAAGAAGATCACTCTGTATCTCTCGAGATCTATTCTGTTTTGTTTTGTTTTAATTTTTAAATACACCTTTCTTTCTTTCCATAGATACTCTTCTCATTGACTATCAGTTCACCTTCAGCCTATCCCAGGAAGATGACCGCTATTACACAGCCATCAATTTTGTGGCTACGCCTGATGAAGTAAGATTTTAAAAGTTTTCTTGCTTTGTCTTGAATTCGTGTGGCTCTTTTTCTTGATCTTTATGGGTAGAAGCATTAGCAGTGGTCTCCAAAGTGGAGTACACAGGACTATGTTTAGAGGTGCAGGAAAGAAATGTTAGAAGCTACACTTTATCTCCTCTCCATCTCAAAGGCAAGAATGGTGTTCAGATTTACCAGGATCTGACACCCAGACTGACACTGACTCCACACATACTTGGTTTGCCCATCAGCCCATCGCAGCCCCTACAGAAAAGGAGAGGGGACTACAAGGGGACCTCCCCAGTCAGAGGGGCACGTGACAGGGCCCAGATTTACTCTCTCAAAACAGACCAGAGGCTTAACAAGTACCTGCAAAGAAACTTCGGATTGAAATTAATGCCACTGATACAAGGAAGGCTGCAGAGGTGATACTCCTGTGCCTACAGGAAGTTGTTAGCCTTGTTAGGAGGTAAAAACTGCGAAGGTGTAGTCAGGTCCAACAAGAAGTTAACCAGAAATAATTGGAATTATTAGGATGACTATTTGAAATGTGGATTTATATCTCCTTTTGTTAATGAGGAACCTCAGCCTGACATAAGGTACTACCTGCTGGTAGAAGGGAGCCAACATAGCATGACATTTAAAAGTGAAGCGTCTAGAACATGAAGACATACGTATACAGTTTCTTCAGTGAAATATAAAGTCATTCAATGGCCACTCCAGTACATAATGAAATTTTACTAAACTTGATGATACATTATTTAGAAACCTCCTTGAAGGTTTCTTATTTCTCATCAACATACACAAAGCCACTTAGCATTACAAAATTCCTGTCACCATAAACATGACAAATAATACATGGAAAATAATATGACAGTGAGCCAGGTTGTGTTCCTTTGTTAACAAATGTTATTGTTAACAAGCTTTGCTAAATCTAAAATATAAATAAAGTAGTAGTAGAACAAAATCCAGAGTGTGGGATGTTTACAATTAAATGAAAGTAAGATTTGTTTTTTATATTCCATTTTTTTTAAAGATTTTATTTATTTATTTGAGAGAGAGAGAATGAGAGATAGAGAGCACGAGAGGGAAGAGGGTCAGAGGGAGAAGCAGACTCCCTGCTGAGCAGGGAGCCCGATGTGAGACTCGATCCCGGGACTCCAAGATCATGACCTGAGCCGAAGGCAGTTGCTTAACCAACTGAGCCACGCAGGCGCCCTATATTCCATTTTAATGATAAAATTAAGAAGAAATGTACTAGAGAGTGAATTTAAGTAAAAATAATAGATGAACTTAAATGAAAATATTATGTGGACAGACTGTATATCATATCATTTGAATGGCTGTGTTGACTGGAATTAAAAAAAAAATTTTAGGCTAAGATTATAGCAAAAGTACCACACATGAAATTTAATATCTTATTCATAAGCATTGGTTGAAGTACTCAGTCTTTCAGGATGTAATTGATGTTAACTTTATTTTAAATAAATATAATAGACTCTTGGCAATACTTCTTAATGTGGTGAGTGACCATGAAAATCTTTTGACTTCTCTGGAGTTCCCTGTCTATCTTATAACAGAATATTTAATAGAGTTATCCAAGATGTATATTCTGTCTCTTCTAAAAGCACCAGGATATCGGGGCGCCTGGGTGGCTTAGTCGGTTAAGCGGCTGCCTTCGGCTCAAGTCATGATCCTGGGGTCCTGGGATCGAGCCCCACATCCGGCTCCTTGCTCAGTGGAGAGCCTGCTTCTCGCTCTCCCTCTGCCTGCCACTTTGCCTATTTGTGCTCTCTATCTCTCTGTCAAATAAATAAATAAAATCTTAAAAAAAAAAAAAAGCACCAGGATATCAAGTTTATTGATCCTTTCTATGGAAAGAAGTAATTGTCAGTAGTGTTCTTCCACCAAATATTAAAAATAAATAAACACTTGAGCTTTCCTGCAAGAGGAGGGTGAGGTTATATCAATAAACAAGAAGGTAACTAACTGCTTTGGGAGAGAAACTCCTGGTTTGGAGATCACATTTTGAAAATGGCTATTTAGAAATGTTTCCATTGTTGAGATTTTTGTGCTGTAAATACCATCAAAACAACCCCCTTAAAAATCTTATTGTTGTGACTTGATTTCTGGTCTTTCAAGATAAAGAATTTCAGCAGGATTGGATCCATTTGTAAAATATAAAAATACAGCATTTGATTCATTTGCATAAATAATTCTTTGACCACAAGAAAGAGATTTATTAGTTAAGTTTCAGTGAAAACTAAAAATTCGTATTATAGTTTATCCAGTGTAGCCAGCAGTGCACTTCTGTCTGTTGGCTCAACACATTTCTTGGAGATGTCTTTCTCAGTCATTAAAACCAAGAATCAAAATAAACAAAACTAGCTCTTCAAATTGTTGTATCTCTAAGTGGTAAATAAGATTTTCAAAGCTAGTAAAGAATATTCAGTCATATTTCTCTTGAAATAAAATTTTTAGTGAGGGAAAATGTTTTTTAAGTCCTGAATGAATACAGTCAAATTATTTTTTAAGTTAGTTCATTTCAGCTTTTTATGCTTTTTTTAAAAAAATTTATTTTATTTATTCATTTGGGAGAGAGAGAATGAGCATGAGATGGGGGAGGGTTAGAGGGAGAAGCAGACTCCCTGCTGAGCAGGGAGCCCATTTCCACTTTGGAGAACTTTTTTTTTTTTTTAAGATTTTTATTTATTTATTTGAGAGAGAGAGAGCACATGAGAGGGGGGAGGGTCAGAGGGAGAAGCAGGCTCCCTGCTGAGCAGGGAGCCCGATGCGGGACTCGATCCAGGGACTCCAGGATCATGACCTGAGCCGAAGGCAGTCGCTTAACCAACTGAGCCACCCAGGCACCCCACTTTGGAGAACTTTATAGGATATGTAATCTATCAGCTCAGAAGTACATAGCTTTAATTTATAAATACACATAAATTGAGGTCTTGGTTCAGTGTTTACTTATCAGCATGGGCTCTCCAGACATTTGGAAACAGCTGCCCAGAGGATCCTTTAGGAGGCTGACTCCCCTAACATGGGTCATAGGATTAAAGTTGTTGTGCTCTGGTCAGGGGCTTTTTAAAACATACTTTCTCATGGACTTAGGCATTTGATAAAGCATTAAATTACATACACGTTTATGAGAGAGAAATGAAATTTACTTGGGCTATATTGCTTATATTGGTTAGAAATGTTACTAAGTGTGAGTTTCTTTTAAGACACTGTAAAATATCTGTTTTGTAGTTAAGAAAATTGAGAGTGGTAAAATTTAATTGCTACTTTATTTTAAAATCTGGAAACTGTTGTAATTAATTTTCTAACAATTTGCACCGCCCTTCAGCAAAACAGGGATTTGGACATGTTCATCAATGCCTCCAAAAACTTCAACCTCAACATCACCTGGGCCGCCAGCTTCTCAGGTAAAGACGTACCTAGAAGAAGACCGTCCAAGTGGAGTAGATTGGTAGTAGATTGAGAAATACATGTAGTTGTTGAGAAAGGGGGCTCTGGAGACAGATGGGTTTGAAACCCACCTTTGCCACTTATGACCTGGGAGACCTTGAACAGTGTCTAAACCTGTCTCTAGACCTTAGCGTTATTTGTCACAAAGAGAAGACAGCAATACTTACCTCCTAGAATTGTTGTGTCAATTGAATCAGGTCATACGAGCGTGCGCCTCGGGTGGTGTCAAGCTCACTGCACACTCAGCCCCCCGCCCTGCTGCCCACGACACTAGCTGCAGCCCCTGCTCTGGCGCTCCCACCGTCGGCCCCGTCCAGGCCTCAGAAGTGAGAAATGGAAATATTTAGAATGAGATCTTGGTAGGTATAGGAAGGTGAATTTGGCAATTGAATCGAGCACTAAGAGCATAGTGTTTGCTCTCTTGTCTATCTTGCTACGATTCACTAAAGACCATGTGGGCAGAAGATCTACTGACGAAGTGACAGGCAGGCCTGATGTAGCGCTTACGAACGTAGCTCAACAGACTCGACAGACGTGGGTTTGAACTCTGCCCGTTCCCGACCGCGCTGCGCTGTGCGGTTGGGCAGATTAAGCTTTCTGAGCCGGTTTGCTCGTGGATACAAGGGACGATAGAAACACCTAGCCGTGCACAGCGTAGTGAGACTGAAATGAGACAATAAAGAAGTAGTCCGTGTAGTGCTTGAAACCCAGCAGTTTCTCACTGGATGGTAACCGTGCTTCCTTATCGCTTCCCTTCCAGTACTGATTTTTGGTCAAAACACAACCAGTTAGACTGAAACAAAATTAAGTATTACCTTTGCACATCTTATGTTTATCATCTTTTAAGATTGTATGGAATTCAGAAAAGGTTCAGAAACTTGCAGTGAGGAGATACTTTTAAGGAAAAAGTCTGAATTGTCAGAACACTGGGAGAAGGGCAACATCTCTGAGCATGTGAATGCTTTTCTTTCTTTCTTTTTTTTTTTTAAGATTTTATTTATTTATTTGACAGAGAGAGACACAGCGAGAGAGGGAACACAAGCAGGGGGAGTGGGAGAGGGAGAAGCAGGCTTCCCGTGGAGCAGGGAGCCCGATGCGGGGCTCGATCCCAGGACCCTGGGATCATGATCTAAGCCGAAGGCAGCCGGCTTAACGACTGAGCCACCCAGGCGCCCCAATGCTTTTCAATGATTGTCTCAATGAGGACCCAGCAGTCTGGGCTCCAGTCACAGTATTTAATGCAGACATGCTAAAAATCTATTTTACGAATCTTTGTAGACACCAGAATTCCAGGCTGAGGGAGAAAATGGAATGTTGAAGGACTGTTTGGGAATAGCATGAATTTATACCAGATTTGGGGGATTTAAATACAGTTGTAGCTGATAGCAGAAGGGACTGGGTGACTCTCTAGAGCTCCTTCTTCCCTGCTGCTGTTGAGACGTGAGGTCACTGCTAATTAGGAAGTGAGAGGTCAGTCAGTGTCCCTGGTACGGGGATCAGGAGCCCTGACAAACAGGTCTAAAAGGGATATGCAAAGCAGTTGAAGTGCTACATGCAGAATGAAAGTCATTGCGTGTTAGTAGGATTCTAGTGGTATCTGTATTTTCACAGCTAGGTGTCGGCTGTTTAAGTGGGGAGGAGTCGCAGAGACTCCTGGCAGAACTGTTTTGGTTAAGGGCACAGCCTTGCGTATCAGCCTTCCCACTGCATATCTCAGCTCTGCTTCTTGTTGGCTGTGTGACCTGAACCAAGTTACTTAATTTCTCCAAACCTCAGTTTCCTGATCTGTAAATGAGAATAGTAAGAATTGTTGTTCGAATTAAATGAGCTTGTGCTCTTAGAGGCTATTCCTGGGACGTAGTAAGTGTTCAGTAAATGCTAACTGTTGTCATTAATGAAGGCAGAATCTGTCCCCAAAAAAAGACCCTTGTATTTCATTCTTTTCTTCCTGACAGCTGGAACCCAGGCTGGAGAAGAGATGCCTGTTGTTTCAAAAACCAACATTAAGGAGTACAAAGATAGCTTCTCTAATGAGAAGTTTGATTTTCGCAACCACCCAAATATCACTTTCTTCGTTTATGTCAGTAATTTTACCTGGCCCATCAAAATTCAGGTAAGAAGTACTTTTTGGTTTCAACCTGCAGACATAGTGAAATCTTTTCAGTGGAGACTAACTCCACTAATTTGGAACTTGAGGTGAATGAGGTGTATGATATTGCTTGGCCTTTGTAGTATCTATGGGAAAGGAGTGCTGAGCACATGACCACCATAAAGAAGGCTGTGGTAGGGGTGGCTTAAATCACTTAAAAAGAACTATAAGCCCTTTTGAAAGCAAGTTGGCGTGTAACAAGTTTGGCAATTGCAGCTGGATTCATTTCTTCACTGAGCACTTCCCATGTAAAAGCCTGTAGAGCTTCAGTTCTGGAATGAGTCAGGTGGGTATACAGGAGCCACACTGATGAGAGCCCGAGTGTGGAAAGTGTCATATGGCAAGATGCTGCCGCTGCTGTCAGAGTGTAAAGATAGGGCGGAGTGGAGTGAGCAGCCGCGCGAGGTTGCATGTGCGAGCACGGGCCCTGTGTGAGTCCTGGCCTCTCCTACACAGATCACGTAGCCTCTCCACGTCACAGAGTTTTGTGTATGTGACCTGAAGGCAGGTCACCTGCTGCTGCCACCGATGTTATCAACTCCCACCCTTTTCTCAGTTCACAGGGGATCCATGGACTCCCTCTTATCTAAGACCCATGGCCTCATTTCTGCTCTTTGTCATCTGCCACTGTGTCCTCCAGGCCTTGCCTCAGTACTTTTCGATTTTACCCCCTCTGTTTTGGGTGAATGTGGAATCCAGGGCCGGGTGGACCTTCAGGGACTGGTGCAGCGTTAGCCATAGAAAGATGGTCACGGGCCTGGTCTGAGGCCGTTTGCCGACTCTCAGAAGCAAGTCGTCACTGATCAGTTAGGAGGGGTTTGAAACCGAGTCCTGGTGATTGTGTGTTCATGTCTTCGGACTGTGACTAAAGAAGAATCTTTTCAGAAGAATCTTTTCATTCCTGGAATGTGGGGATAGGCTCTGTGTTGTTTTTTTTCTCACCAGCTGCTTCCCTTTCTCTGTCTAGCTGGTCCACCCGTGTGTTCATCCTCTAGTCTGCTCTTCCCTTTGATCTTACACACTCTCTGCTTCCCTCCTCAGCCAGCCTGCTCTAGTGCTGGCTACCTGTTTGTGCTTCCTCTCACCCGCTCATCCAGCAGCCTACAGCGGTGCCTCCTTCCCTCACCACGTCCTGAAACTGTTTTGTCTTAGTGGAGGTCAGTCACCAAATTCTCCAGTCTCCTCTCCTTCTCGGAGTGATCGGAGTCGCTGTCTTTCTTGCTTTCTGGTCCTTTTTTTCCCTGATTCTCTGGCCAGGCTCTTTAGGGAATCTCCTTCCTTAGACATTGAGGTTGTCTGGGAATCAGGCATTGGTTCTCTTTTGTCTTCATCCCACACAGTTTCCCTGGGTAATTCCATCCCACTTAAAGGACTTATGGTGCTCTTTCTGTATGGGTGATTCTCAGTTCTGTCTCCAGCCCAGCTTCTCCTTGCGCTCCAGACCAGTATTCTCGGTCGCTCTAACTGGATAATCACAAGCTCCTGCTGTCGGCACGTAGTCATTCTTGTGACCTTAGCCCCACACCCCATGCTTCCTTTCTCTGAATGACACCACCATTCATCTAGTTTTCTTTTGCTGTCCTTGTTCCATTTTTATATCAAGGTTAAACTAACCTTTAATAATTATAAATTGAGATTTCTTCTCATTTCTGGAAGAGATTACATAAGATTAGAATTGTGTGAACCTTGAATACTTAATAGATCTCCCTTGTAAAATCATTAGTATTTTTTATTTGTGGCAATTTCTTTTAACTGTTGATTCAACTTCTTTAAAAGTTGTAGGATATTTTGGGTTTTCTCTTTCTGTTTCAGTCATTTAAGATAATCTTTTCTAGGCATTAATTTATTTCATTTTTTCACATGTATTGACACAAAGGTATTCACACTGTTCTCTAATCTTTGCAGCATCTGTGCTTAAGTACTGAATCATACACTTAAAAAGGCTTAAAACAGTAAATTTTATCTTAAATATTTTTGACCCAATTATAAAAAAAATTTTTTTTTAAGATTTTATTTATTTATTTGTCAGATTGAGAGCACAAGCAGGGGGAGAGGCAGAGGGAGAAGCACACTCCCCACTGAGCAGGGAGCCCGATGCGGGACTCGATCCCAGGACCCTCAGATCATGACCTGAGCCGAAGGCAGACGCTTAACTGACTGAGCCACCCAGGCGTCCCCAATTATAAAAAATTTTAAATATCACAGCAAGATCTTTTTTTGAAGATATAAACAAGCTTATTCTAAAATGTATACAAAAAAGCAGAGCTTCTAAAATAGCTGTAACAGGTGTGAAAAAGAGGAATAATGTGGGAGGAATCACTGTACACAGTGTTAAGGCTTACTGTTTAGCTATAGTAATCAAGACTTTGTGGTTATTGGTGGAGGGATAGACACAGATCAAGGAATAGAATAAAGAACGCTGAAACAGAACCACATAAATGTGTCCAACTGATTTTTGACAAAGGAACAAAGACAATTAATTCAGTGGAAGAAGGATAGCCTTTCAAATAAGTGGTGCTGGAACAACTGGACAACCATCGACAGATAAATGAACTTCGACCTAATCGTCACATCTTACACAAAATCAACTTATTAGGGATCACAGCCTTTTCCTTCTAAAGTAAAATAGCTATTTATTTAGCTTCTTGTCATGCCAAAATGTTTTGTGTATATACCACTATAATTAGCACATCCTCTGTAACAGGCAAAATTGTACATCAAATTATATTTCATGTTACCTGATTATATAAAAATATAAAGTAAAAATGATTTATCAGTTCTATTTAACATTACTAGTAAACAATTCAGCAGGAGCTACGAGATACAAAATTTTAGTAAAATATGACACAGGAAGAGCATAATGTAATTCTCACTTGTCATAATTTGTTATGAATATACAAAGACAACTTCTTAAAATATTGTGTTTACTAAGATTCTGGCAGTAGCTTTTTGTAACAAGACATAGCATACCAGACCTGCCACTCAACTTGTTTATGGTAAGTCTCAGCTTCAATATGAAGCTGTTTAAAAAAAAAAAATCAAAAGCCTGTTTTTTTTAATGATTTTATTTATTTATTTAAGAGAGAGAGCGAGAGAGAGCACAAGTGCACAAGCATGGGGGAGGAGTAGAGGGAGAAGCAGACTCCCTGCTGAGTGGGGAGCCTCATGCGGGACTCTATCTCAGGACCCTGGGATCATGACCTGAGCTGAAGGCAGACGCTTAATGACTGAGCCACCCAGGCGCCCCAGAAGCCTGTTGGGGTTTTTTGTTTGTTTGTTTGTTTTACATGCTAGGTATCTTGGCAAGTATGCCATTAAATACAGCAAGGAATTTAAGGTAGCAAGAATAAGGAGTTAATAAAAGCTAAACATTACAACCTAAACCAAATTCATAACAAAAATAACTCTCACTGGTTACATAAAATATTCCTGACTAGTTAAAACCGAACAGTATAAAACATGCATTTTAGAATTTTTGGCAATCAATTTCAAAAAGTACCAGTATCTATTTGAAATGATTCCCCTCCAAAGTCAAAGTGTAGTCAGAATTAATTCAAATGTTATCACACTTTGTAATGCTAAAAAACATTCAGCATTACTGAAGTGGAGGTAAATTCCAGAGCCTTTGGGGCTCTGTCCTGCTGCAAAGGGCTCTTTCTCTGGTTCACTTAAAAGAGCAAACGACAGAGTCCAAGGATGTCCAATGGCAAGAGTGCTGTACCCAGCTGTGCCCTCCCCATGGAGCATGGCTACTGTGTGTGCAGGAATAGGATGTGTGAGGATAAAAAGCATGCTCTTCTGCTAGCTGAAGAGTTAGCAGCCCCCCCCCAAAAGCTCCTTCCCCAGGTAAATAAAAGTATAGAAGGGGAAGAATTAAAATACACTTATCTATAGAGTAAGGATTTTGAAATATCAATGTGATCCCTATTTCAAAAATGTTATCTAGAGTCACCTGATCATTTCTGATTATACCTTAATGATGTATCCAGATTCAACTTCTGTTGATTTATCATGAGATACTTCTAGTCAGACATATTAACTTAATCCCCAAATATCTTAACCGCTAGCACAACTGCAGTGTAATACCTCCCGGAGTTGTTAAGCACTGGAAGAGAAAAAAAAACAGATGTTCAAGCAGCAGGCAACAGTTATGGCCCTTTCACACAGTGGCATCCACGTGGCTACTGAATAGTCCAGGACTAATTCTAAAAACGGGAACATTCATGCATTTTAGTAATTATGTCCTAATTCTCACAGTTGAAATTTCCTTAGACATTGCACTTTCTTTATAAAGGAAACCTGATTTTTCTTACAATGTTATGACCAGTCAGGACTTGAACTTGCAGCCATCTTTTTCTCCTTATCCTCACTGCTTTTCTTCTTTTTTGCCCGTACCCCCTCAATATAATCTGATTCTGATAAGGACTCCGGTGATAAAGGTTTATCTTCAGGATGCATCTTTTTGTTTTTTTTTTTTAACTGAGTCCTTTCATGTCCTTTTCTTTCTCAGTTGCATCCTTTGACTTCTTTTTTTTTTCATCAACACAGTGTTTTTCCTTTTATTCAACTATAAGCAAACGGCAGAATTAACACAATAAGCCACAACTCCAGATCGGCTTTTCTGTAGACAAGAGTTCAACAGACACAGATTTAGGGATTTCTGACAGCGGCCTCACCCAGCCCTGCAGCTCATCTAGATGGCTTCGTCTTAATTGCAAAGCCACTTTCCCTGTTGCTTTTTCCAGTACTGCTCCTTGAAGGAGCCAGAACAGGACACTGATCCCTAGTAAATGGTCTGAGATGTACCACGTTGGGGGTTAGTGCACACGCCAGCCTCTGGCTGTCTTGGTGGGAGACACGGCCGTGAAAACACGACCCAGAAGTGCCCTCATGCACAATTCCGGACTCAGGCTCACAAAGCAGAGGCAATGAATCTTTTCTTTTAAACCTCCCTTAAAGATTCT